ATCGATCTCAAAGATGCTTACTATTCTGTACCTATTCACCCAGCATATCAAAACTTTCTCAAATTTTGGTGGAGAGGGCAACTTTATAAATTTGCCTGTTTTCCAAACGGCCTAGCCATCTGCCCTCGAAAATTTACGAAATTCCTCAAACCTGTTTTTTCAAATTTACGTCAAAAAGGACATATTTCGGTTGGATTTATTGATGATACTTGGCTGACATCCGACACATATGCTTCCTGTGTTCGGAATATTCGAGATACCATCTGTTTATTTAGTGAAGTGGGGTTTTACGTACATCCGGATAACTCAGTTTTAGTTCCCTCACAAGTAATTACTTTTTTGGGTTTCTGAATAAACTCAGTTCTTATGCGAATATCTGTGACGACGGAACGAGCTGGGAAGATAAAACGCATGTGTTATGAGCTGCTACAAGCTTCTCACCCAAAAATAAGGGATGTTTCTCGGGTTTTGGGCACTCTAACCTCGTGTCTCCCGGGCGTAATGTACGGTCAATTGCATTATCACTGGCTGGAAATGGATAAAAGCGATGCCCTTAACTTAAACCGGGGTAATTTTGACAAGACAATGACCCTGTCTTCAGAGGCCATACATGATTTACGGTGGTGGCAGTCATCAATATGCACGACTTACAGGCAAATTACTCACAATGAACCTAGCATATGCCTATATTAACAGATGCGTCGTTGACAGGGTGGGGCTGTTCCCTAAATGGTGTATGTGCTGGGGGTAACTGGACGCCCTTGGAGCCTTCAAATCATATAAATTATTTGGAAATTCTTGCTGTATTGTTTGCCCTTGAGTCGTTTTCTTCAGAACTAAAAGGTCAGCATGTTAAGGTATTAATTGATAATACTACCGCTGTAGCTTGCATTAATCAAATGGGCACATGCCACTCAAGGTCTATTCACAAGTTGACATGCAATGTCTGGACCTGCTGCATTTCGTATGATATTTGGTTGACAGCAGCGCACATTCCAAGATTACAAAATGTCACTGCGGATCGAGAATCTCGAATATCACGCAGAGAAACAGAATGGCAGTTGAACAAGACTCTGTTTACGTGTGCCATTCAAAAACTAGACGTAACTCCGAACATTGATTTGTTTGCGTCAAGGTTGAATAATCAAGTGAAACCCTATGTTTCATACCAACCTGATCCGTATGCTATAGCTGTCAATGCCTTTACGATATCGTGGGCCAATTATACATTTTATGCGTTCCCGCCCTTTAGCATAATTTCGCAAGTGTTACAAAAAATAGTACAAGAGAAAAGCACAGGACTAGTCATAGTCCCTAACTGGCCAACACAAAGTTGGTGGCCAGCTTTAATGCAGATGCTAATAGCACATCCTGTTGTTTTACCTAGAGGAAGAATGACCTTAAACTCTTCCAGCTCATCCGGATCAAATACATCCTCTCCATACAAAACTGGAGCTACTACTTTGCCATTTATCGGGGAACTTCTCTCTGATAGAGGCATTTCACCAGAGGCTTCTGAAATCATCCAGCAGTCCTGGCGGACTGGTACCAAGAAGCAATATTCTACATACCTTAACCGTTGGCGACAATATTGCAATGCAAACAATATTGATCCTGTCGCGTCCTCTGTAGAAGAGGGCATTAATTTTCTTACAAAATTATACCAGGAAGGTTTATCCTACAGCGGTATTAATACTGCAAGGATCGCCTTATCTACTATCCTAATGCTACCAAGTGGCATCTCGTTTGGTACACATCCACTCGTTGCTAGGTTTGTTAAAGGTGTATTTGTTGCAAGACCAGCTCTTCCTAGATATGCCATGGTCTGGGACGTTTCAGTGGTATTCGAACATCTTCGAAATCTCCACCCTCCGAAAGATCTCAGTTTGAAATCATTAACACTAAAAACAGTAATTCTTTTAGCTTTGTTATCTGGTCAGCGATGCCAAACACTTCATGCATTGGATATTTCTCATATGGAGAAGAAAGAAGATCGAATAGTTTTTCATGTGCACCAACTGCTCAAAACATCTAAACCTGGTAAACATGCTACTCCTTTAGAATTTCGGGCTTATCCACCAGAGCCTGGGTTATGTGTATTCAATTACTTGTCCCATTATCTAAATGTCACTGCACCCATACGAAATGGTGCAAGACAACTCCTATTGAGCTATCAAAAACCTTATCATTCGGTCACTTCAGCGACCATTTCCCGATGGTTAAAATACGTGTTAAAGATGCTGGTATAAATACTGAGGTTTACAGTGCACACAGCACTAGAACTGCATCAACGTCTGCGGCAAACGCATTGAATATTTCTATGGATTCTATTATGAATGCAGCTACATGGCGTAATGAATACTCTTTTCAAACATTTTATAATAAACCGATTGAGGCGAAGAACTTTGGCAATGATCTATTTTCTACCATTTGTGAGATATGAAATGTGAAATTTCAATTATATTGTTTTGTTATTAGTTATTGCTCATGCCCATATTGCTTTAAAATCTCACATGACTTCCTAGTGACGTAGAACAGTAACGAAATAGAATAAGAAAATTAAACGAGACTTACCTGAAGTCGAAGTTTGATTGAAATTCTATGAGTTACTGTTCAGGGACTAGGAAGTCCCCCACCCAACTACTAACTTACTTCTTTTCAAATGATGTTAAATACTACTTGCCTCCCAATATCTATGTGGACGTTCGCAAATTTTTAAAAACTGATCTTGATATCGCGCGCTCTATCTCACATGACTTCCTTGTTCCTGAACAGTAACTCATAGAATTTCAATCAAACTTCGACTTCAGGTAAGTCTCGTTTAATTTTCTAAGTATGCATTAAGTGGAATCTGCATAAGATAATTAAGTCTGCAAATAGTTATTTGTTAAACCCTTGTCCTTGTTCATGGCAACCATGATGGCAACTTATAGACAACATAGAAAATATGATAACGTTTTTGAAGCTGCATATACAGCACTCTCCAATTTGCAAAAAATTTGGTGTAATAACCAGAGGAATTTGAGAAATTTCATTGGTCGAGAGCTACAGACGCACGGAATTGACGTCACAGCAAATTTCTTGTTTTTAAATAACAAACAAACAGCGAATTTATTTGAATATTTCCCAGCTGAGTTTATCCCTGAATGGACAAATAAAGAAATCAAGAATGCCTGTTGAAGCAGTGCATGTATTTGAGCAAAAAGAAAAAACACCGGTTTTCAAATTTTGACTTGTACTCTTCAAATATTAATCTGCTCTCATTAGTTTTTAGTCTTGGATCAATTACATACAATTCGTGTAAAATTTTAAACCAACGGCTCCTTTGTCATGCGAGCGACTTCTCATGCATTTCACACTTACACAGGCAGCACTTACTGCCTTTTAGGTACGCTACTCCAAAATGCATTTCTAAAATCTTAAATTTCGCAGCAATTAAGACAGTTGCAAGCATTTCTTACAAAAAAATGAAGACCTACCAATTATTTTTAGACCAAACAGAAGCCAGGCTTCACACAAAACTGTTTCAGGGACAAACAGTAATTTGGTTAAATTTTTTACCTCTTTAATTTACTGTGAACTTCTTCTTTCAAGTTGTACCCGGGGCAAGAAATGTCTTTTTTCAAGGACTCGACGTCATTGACTGTATTGTCTGAGACATTTTTCATCTCGCTACTTATAATAATGGATTTACAATCACAAATGTTTGTAATGCACTGTATCTTCAGTAGCATGTCGTCATAAAATAAATCAATTGTGAAGATTTTCAGTTATAAGAAATTATCTTCCTGACGCTTAATTAAAACGTCAGACTTTAATCATTGCATCTCACACACGTCTACCCTTGCACAAAGGAATACACTTTGAGTTTGCACAATTCAATCTTCATTGACTATGGGCCTAGTCTTGTATGAATATAACTCCTTTATGAAAATCGTGAAAGTATTTCCTCTTTAACACAATGGAATCTTATCAATACGCTTAATTTTAAATACCTCATATAATAATAATTTTTTTAACCGTTATCAGGGTTTTCAATTAATGATGTCTTCATTTTTGTTTTCATTGACTTCTGCAATTTTCACAAAATGTTTTCTAAAAATATTTGCAACGGTATCGGTAATATATTTAAAGTAGAGAGGGTTAGAAAACATTCATACAGTACTCAAAACAAACCTATTCAATATTTAAAGAAAGACCTTAAGTAAAAATACCAAAAAATTGAGATATTATACAGCGTCATGCAACCCTAATTTTTCTACGTTGCTAAATATGAAAAATTATTTCTACGGCTTTCAGACAAAGTGTATCGTGAGATCAGGTCTTGTTTTTCAGTAATTCGACTTTATGATTTTGTGCACTAAAGGAGGAAGTTCAGGAAATAGTTGTAGGAAATACTTTTTATATTTGCCTTCCTCAACATATGGTGATAGGTGTGAACGAGGCTTATCAGACCAATGCTGGCCAACGTTTCGTAGGAACCTTAAACAACCTTCCCATGAAGGTTTGTAATTTTTATTAACTGTTTTGCCATTGTCTTCGAATGTTGTGAACTCTTTCAAGACTTTATCATTGACACGCTCCATCCATTTTATTGGAATATTTAACTTTTCACGAACATGTGGTGATTGTCTGATATTGTTCCAGACGTCACTCAGCATATTGAAGTTCTCCTCATAAGATTGAAGATAAGGGTGTTTTAACGCTTCATTAGCTGATGGCCTGTCTTCTGGTTGTCGTTGAAGCATCCATGAAAGAAGATCTTTAAGTACAACATCATCGATTTCCATCAATCCAACAGGGTTTCCATCTCCCAAGTTTTTCAGTCTATACTCTAGAGGTCCAAAAGGATGTTTCCCTTTTGTTGCAACATAATAAGCCACCATTCCTGCATTCTAAAATATATAAAAACATAACACTGTCAACAAAAGATTTCTAAAAAATTTGGAAGTAATTTGCAAATGGTTATATTTTTACACCCACCATTAGATCAGACTCTGGTTTGTATCGTGCTTTATCAACTGATTCTTCATTAACAACGTACGATTCAGGAGCAATCCAATCGTGAGTTCCCTTAGTAGCATCGCTTACATGTGTCTTAAGGCCGTTTTTCAATATTCGACTAATACCGAAGTCAGCTATCAGATATTGTCCTTGTGCATCTCGAAGAACATTAGATGGTTTTAAATCACGATGAAGAATAGGATTTGGTTCGCTATGAAGATCAGCTAATCCTTTTAAAATTTGCTTGAGAATTTCGGGAAGAGATTTTTGAAGATCCTCCAAAGTAGAAGATTTTACGAAACTCTCCAGCGATTCTTCACATAGGTCGAGTATCAAATAGACATGTTCAGTTCCGGTATCTACTTCTAAGTGGTAATAATTCACAACATAACTCGACTTCTTAGCTTTGATTTCATTCAAAATTTTCGTTTCGTTCTCTAATTCTTTGGACAAGTTATCCCGACATACTCGTTTCACTGCTTTTCCATAACCATCCTTTTTCAGTCCAAGATAAACACGGGTTTCATTATTTCCTCTGCCAATGCAAAACTCGTGCGAGAAAATTACACGTACGTCGTTCACACATTCAACCTTGATACCTGGGTCACATCCATACTTAATTAATTTTATAAACATTTCTTTGTGCTTTATTGATTGATCAAAGTACTTCCATTCTTTCAACTGCAATTCTAAAAATTATGTAAAAGTATTACATTTAGGGATAAGGGATGAAAACAATCAAACATGTGGAAGTGAGCTGAAAGTAATTCATCGCACACAAGATTCGAATACGTGCAAATAACATAATAATATAGGCTCAACTTTTTTGTATATTATTCAATACATTAAATGGTAATGTATTTATGTTTTTCAAAAAGGCTAATCTTAAATTCGGGCAGTGAAATGTTACCCAAGAGACAGATCGGTAATTCCTTCGAGTTTGATCGGATATTACTTTCATTCAATGGTATTGTCCACATTCAATCATAATGCCAATCCCTGTGATATTATATAGTACATTGGTAAATTATTTGAGATGAAAATAAGAAGCAACTTTATTGTAAGTAAACGCAGGGATATTTGTGATTAAAAGTCTTGTAAACCGAGGGAGATTTAGCAAAAGAGACTTTTACTAAATCTTTTCATCGTCTGAGAAGTCTAAAATTTTTTTCGACGGTTCGACAGATGTACATGCGTTTGCATTTCTCCATCCCAAATTGGTTGAAAATATTCTTAAAGTAATCGCAGAACAACATTCCCAGTAGAAAATGAACATTGCCATCGTCGATCTTCTTGAACTATATATATAACACCAGAATTTGAACTTTAAGTGAAATTTATTGCGTTTCTGTCTGTTTATATAGCCAACAATACAGCGTCATCACTGATCGATTCAATGCTGTGATTGTCTCTGTCAAACGCTCTGCAATACCATTATGCTCTGGAAAATAAGAGCTCGTAGGTTATTGCACAAAACCTTTGCAGCACAAAACTAAAGAAACGCCTCTACTCAATATTCACCACAAATATCACTTCTTGAAGCATTCATTTTATGATCTTCTGTTTGACCTAAAGTATAGCGCACGAATTCCTTAAACTTGGTCAACTGATGCCAAAGTGTACTTCGAGATAGCAATTAGAGTAGAATCAATCATACCAACAGTCGATAATCGAATATACAAGTCTACATCGGTCAAACGATATGGTCGCCTCAGTTTCTTTTGTTGCAACAGAAATATTTACTAACGTGTTACCGCAAACATAGGAATGAGGATGTTTAGTCGTAAACGTCCATCCTCAATATTCTTTGACGTTACTAAACCTCGTACTGGTCAGTGGAACATTTAATTTCTTTCATCCCTGAAAGCGTGCGTTTACTTATAATACAAAACCAAAAACTATCATATGCTCTGTAAAAACCCAAACCCAAAATCTTCCTGGACATCATTCATGTAGCTTATTTATTTGATAGTGGTTGTGTGAGCCACTGGAAAAAACCAATGTTCGAAGAGTCAAAATTCTCCTTTTATGAGTTATCAATAAAAGCTAGGAAATTAAATTATTAACTTCCAAAATAGGATTAAACAAATATACAACCTCAAAAGCACGTCACTCAGGCTCGCCAAATTTGTATTGAATTTTAAAAATGCCAGAAAAATAGTCATTGACGTCATCGTTCTCAAAAGGCTCCGTTTTTTGACTGTCCACATTAAAACACAACGCACGCATTTTCAAATCACTCCATTTTTGAGAGCGTTTTCAAATCTATACGTTTTCATTTGGCAGCGTGTTCGTTTTTCAGTGTTTTTGGACGGATGGCCAAAAAGCATCAAAAAGTATGAATTTTTAACAGAAACCGCATAAGTGAGGACAGGGTTTAACACAGCGGGGATGCGTTTGCAGAATGTGAGTATGAAATGTGTAAGTCATTCAAGTCTTTGATTTGCTTTTGACTCGCACTTTATTGGACGCGTGAATATTCACATGACGTCATCACTAAAGTGCGTTAGTTATTCTGATTAGTTTTATATTATGTGACTAAATGTATAGATCTACATAACTTGTATTATGTTAGATCACCTGTGGTCTTGGTTTTGAAAAAAATTGCACATATTTTGAAATGGATGTTAAAGTTTATAAAGGGGGCCAAATTTCCGAAGTGGGACCATATTTACTAGGATGTATTGCCCCTGTGGAGACAAATTTCTTAGGAAATGTTCATTATTCATTGCCATGTACATTGCTGATATTGGAACATTCAAAACTTTATCAACAAGATAAATACCTTTTGGAGTGTGAGGGTCGTACTTTGTCTAACTGTAAAAATCCTTACGGTTAATCATAAGCTTTGCACTAACGTTAACAGCTTGGGGGCTGGGAGAGCTGAAGCCCCAACTTTTTGCAAAAAATATATTTAGACTGAGCTGAAGTCGTTGTTGAGAGGTGTTTTTTAAGACGCCAGAGTAGAATTGACGACTTAGCCCCGCATTTCATAATGTTGCTTCACCGTCCCTTCAAACACTCACTACTTGTTTATCTCATATCAATATTAGTATATGTGAAAAATATATTTGCGTTTTAACCATTTCATACCATCAAAGAGGATGCTGGAGATAAAATTTTTAAAATGGTTAGCTTGCTAATGACAATCTTTGATGCACTGATAAACAAACATATAGCGACAAATCAAACGCAGAAAATTTACACTTCGACTGTATAACGGGAATAGCTGACTGACTAGGTTGCATTTTTACACTTAGAGATTTTAGAGATTGATTAGCTACATCATTGACGAAAAAGAAATATTTTAATGGTTAACTTACTAGCAAATTGTTCTTTCAGACCTGGAGTGGATTTCCTTTTGATATACCTTATGATTCTGTGCACCAGAAGAGGAAGCTCCGGAAAAACTTTCAGGAAATACTTTTTATAGTTGCATTCACTTGGCGGCAGTTGTGGACGAGGTTTATCTTGCCAATGCTCGCAAACGTTTTGTAAAAATTTTAAGCAGCCTAACCATGTAGGGTCAAAGTCATTGAAATTATTGAAAACTTCTCCGTCGATACGGTCCATCCAATTTTTTGGATCATTTAACTGCTTATGGACATGTGAGTTGAGAGGATCACATATCTCTATCTCCAGTTGATTCACCCCATTACACAACATATTAAAGTTCTCTTCAGCAGATTGCAGATATGGATGTTTTAATGCTTCTTTAGCTGATGGCCTGTCTTCTGGTTGTCGTTGTAGCATCCATAAAAGAAGATCTATAAGTTGATCATCCTTGATTTCTTCCAAACCAACAGAATTTCCATCTAGCAAGTTTTTCAGTCTATACTCTAGAGGTCCAAAAGGATGTTTCCCTTTTGTTGCAACATAATAAGCCACCATTCCTGCATTCTAAAATATATAAAAACATAACAGTGTCAACAAAATATTTCTAAAAAGTTTGGAAGTAATTTGCTAATGGTTATATTTTTACACCCACCATTACATCAGACTCTGGTTTGTATCGTGTTCTATCAACTGACTCCTCATTAACAACGTACGATTCAGGAGCAATCCAATCGTGAGTTCCCTTAGTAGCATCGCTTACATGTGTTTTAAGGCCGTTTTTCAATATTCCACTAATACCAAAGTCAGCTATCAGATATTGTCCTTGTGCATCTCGAAGAACATTAGATGGTTTTAAATCACGATGAAGAATAGGATTTGGTTCACTATGAAGATCAACTAATCCTTTTAAAATATGTTTAAGAATATCGGGAAGTGATTTTTGAAGGCAGTCCAAACTATTTGAATCTGATTCCACATATTCCTTCAACGACTCTTCACACAGGTCGAGTATCAAATAGACATATTCTGTTTTAAGGTTTTCTTCGTAGTAGAAATAATTCACAGCATATTGCGAGTTCTTTGCGTTTCCCTCATTCAAAATTTTCTTTCCATTCTCTCCTATTTTAATGCAATCTCGACGAATGCGTTTCACTGCTTTTTTACAGCCATCCTTTGCCAATCCAACATAAACACGGGTTCCATCGCTTCCTTTGCCAATGCAAAATTCGTCAGAGAAAATTACCCGTACATTGTACACATATTCAACCTTGTTATCACGGTGACGCCCACACTCAATTAACTTTAACAATATTTCTTTGTGCTTTGCTGATTCATCAGGGTGTTTCAATTCTTGCAACTGCATATCTTAAAATTATGTAAAATAAATTTAGAGATTAATGATGAAAACATTCAAACAATTGGAAGTAGTCGAAACTCGAAAGTTTCCATTACACACAAACTTTGGATGGTGGCAATTACTTGTCATATCTTTCTGATTTACGCAATTGATTGGACCGCAGTATTAAGGTATAAGCAGATACCATAACATGTTCTTTTTATTGTGAAATAAAGCCGTATATAATTACACCTAGTGTTTGTTGCTTTTGAGTGTAAAAAACGTGAAGAACATGTTTATCATGTCTACAGCTATATATTCAAGTGACAAGTACAACAGAACAAATTTATTTCAAATCTCAACTTCTACTCTTGACTCTAAGTCTTTATGAGCAATTCGATGCTCGCCTATCTAACAATCTGTTATGTATTCACTTTTTATCAGTAAAACTAGACCACAGATAAGAGACCATACACTATAAAAAGAAATCATCAATTTTGAACTTCAAGGGAAGTATAATGCATGGCTCAAATTTTTGATCTAATATTTTCAGAAAGGATTCAGTATTTTCTATTTCAACCATCATTTCCAAATTCCAATCCCCGTGATATGATATTGTACATTTTTATTTCTGGTAAATTAATTTTGGTAAAAAGTATTTCTTTGACAGTAACTTACTGGTTAAATGTTCTTCGAGATCTGGAATTGATTTCCCTTCAATTAACTTCATGATATTATGTACAAGTAGAGGAAGCTCAGGAAAAACTTGCAGGAAATACTTTTTATAGTTACCATTGCTTTGAAGCAATTGTGTAGGAGGCTTATCGTGCCAATGCTGGTGAAAGTTTAGTAAAAATTCTACACAACCGAACCATGTAGAGTCATAGTGTCGTTTATTGAAAAGCTTAAAGACTTCAGGGTCGATACAATCTTTCCAACTTCTTTGCCGATTCAACTGCTTATGGACATCTGAATTAGGAGGATGAAGTAAACGATATATATTTTTCACTGGTTGGTTATCCAGGTCACACAACATATCAAACTTCTCTTCATCAGATAGTAGATAAGGGTGTTTAAGCGCCTCGTTTGCTGATGGTCTGAGTTTGGGATTTAGCTGTAGCATCCATGAAAGAAGATGTTTAAGTTGAACATCCTTGATTTCCTTCAATCCAATTGGATTTCCACGTAACAAGTTTAGCAGTCTACACTCTTCAGATCCAAAAGGATGTTTACCTTTTGTAGCAACATAATAAGCAACGAGTCCTGCATTCTAAAATCAATAAAAACAGTTTGATAGAAATGTAAAAATTCAACTTTATTTCACACATGGTTACATTTTTATACCTACCATTACATCCGACTCTCTTTTGTAACTTGATTTGTCAAACGACTCATTATCTTTACAATATGATTCAGGAGCAATCCAATGCGGAGTTCCCCTATCACCATTGCTTGCATGTGTCGTAAGGCCATTCTCCATTATTCGGCTTAAACCAAAGTCAGCTATCAGAAATTTGCCTTTTGCGTTGCAGAGAACATTGGAAGGCTTCAAATTCCTGTGAAGAATAGAACTTGGCTCGCGGTGAAGATCAACTAATCCTAATAAAATGTGTCTGAGAATTTTGGGAAGAGAATTTTGAAGATTCTCCAAAGTAGAAGAATGCACAAAATCCTCCAACGATTCTTCACATAGGTCGAGTATCAAATAGACCCATTCTGTTTCAGTGTCTTTTTTGAAGTAGGAATAATTCACCAGATAATTCGACTTCTTTTTTTTAATTTTATTAAAAATTTTCATTTCTTTCTTTGCAAAATCGATAAAGTTGTACTGAAGTATTCGTTTCACAGCTTTCCCGTAACCATCCTTGCTCAGTCCAAGATAAACACGGGTTCCATCACTTCCTTTGCCAATGCAAAATTCATCTGAAAAAATTACTCGAACATCGTTTAAAAGTTCAACTTTTACATTAGGATTACGCCTATACTCAATCATTTTTAAAAATAATTCGTGGTGTTTTATCGATGGATCATTATATTTCCATTCTTGTAAATGCAGTTCTGAAACTGAAGGGAAAAAATCAAATTTAGAAATGAATAGGAATAATAAATACATAAAACTAGTTAAAGATAGACTATTACAATGAGAAATTGGATAGTGACTGTACAGTTTGTTAAAAGTTGTAAAATGATAAAAGTATAAAATTAAGGTTAAGTAAAACAGAAACAATCAATGAACAGATTACTAAAAAGCTTTCTCATTAGTGCAAACTCTCCACATTTTTCGTTCTTTTTCTTAATGATTTCTTGTGACTCGGCTTACATCGAATTTCAGGCATTGTTGAGGGTATTGTTTTGTAAAATGGAAAAACAACAACTAACACTAGTTTTTGTAACTAAATGAAAATATATTAGCTACTTTGCATAAACGTTAAAAAAGAGTGCGTATGCCGCATTGAATTCATGCTAAACATTTCCACAGCGAACAAGTATAACGTGAATTTCAAAGTAGATATTTTCAATCTTCAACCTTAAATTTATAGTATTTGTTAATTAGCAAATTTGTCTCTTAATTAAGCTGAATTCATGAGCATTTTGTACCTTGGTTCTTTTTTCTCTCACGAAATTCTTGTAATCTCGTTTTCATTGAATCCCTGTGTAAATCACGTCCTTCTTCTTCGTATATTTGTATCAGATATTCCATAGCGTTCTCATGCTTTTCTATATCTTTATCTTCTGTGACAATCTTCAGATATATTTCATAAATATCTGCTGCTTCCCTATATTGCTCAAGTTTATCAAACAATTCTGCTAATTCCCATAAAACAGCCAAAACTCCCCTGACAATTCCAGCTGAAGTAACAATTGACAAGTTCTTCAAGTTCTTCAAGTAATCTTTACCAACGTTAATACCACCAACTTTTCTTGGTCGTCGCGGTCGTTCACGCCGTTTATTTTGCTCTTGTTGATTTCCTTGTTGATTTTCTTTCTGTTGTTGAGGTTGAATTTCTTCTTCTTGGTGTTCACAATCAATAAAAGAGAATCCTTTTCTATAATGCTCCAAAGATTTCTCATAATTTCCAAGCAACTTGTTCAATCCTCCCAATGCAATATGACAGAGACATTCCATTTCATTTTTCTTCATTGCGTCCTCCAATCTTTTAATGGTAGAATGAACACTCCCCAGGCCAAGGTATACTTGTTGTTCAAAATATTCAGTTTCAACTTTAGACGAAAACTTTAAGCAATGCTTAAAACTGTTCAATCCTTCCTCCCAATTATTTGAGAGTGTGTAAGCATTACCAAGACCAAAATATGCTATCGTTTTCAGGCTATCTTCGTCTGCAACTTCTACACAATTATTATAATGTTCAATAGCCGTTTTACAATCGCCATTATTCATAGAACAATTCCCTTCTTCCAAGATCCCCATAACTGCTGGAACCGTGAAAGCTAGATCTCTTCTAGTTGTAATGCAAAAATTTATCTAAGTTCTCCAGTGTTCTTCATGTGAACAGCAAACTTTTCTTTATTGTACTTATTTTTTTGCGCCAAACATCAAAGTTAAACTGTTTAACTATATAAGGCAAAATTATGAGCTTTATTTAGTCCACTCTTTAGTTTCAAAATTACAATAGAGGAAATTCATTTATGGAAGTTTAGAGCAAGCAAATGAGCGATCTGACTAACATGTATGTAGAGTGTAGAGACTAACATGTATGTAGAGAATGTTTTAGCATTTCCCCCCCCCGATGAGTTTCGTAAGTTAATTAATTCATTAAAGTGCCCATTTCAGCAACATTGAACTTAGGAGTGATTTCCACCGTATTAGTAAAAACGTTTTTAAGTTTCTCAAATCGCTCCATTTTTAAGGCTGTTTAATATAGGCAAAATGCTCCTTTTTATGGAGCTTGTCAGTCGCAGGAAAAGTCTGGGACGACTTACTTTTGTAACGTCATGCAAAGTATTCATCAAGATATATATACCAACCACGTGTTTGTCGGTAATTGCACGTTGAAACCCCACTCCCACAGTCACGAAAGTCACGCATCAAGACAATACATTATTTAGCATATGAAGACAACGCAAGATGCGACAACTTGAAATATATATATAAATTGGGACAGTTGCTCTAACTCGTGTCTAATACATATTTAAGCAAAATTGCGCATGCATAAACAAAGATGCGTCAATACCGAAACGTGCTTTGAAAAAACCTCAGCGTTTTATTGATGAATTTGTAGTAAAGAATGATTTTTCTGGGAAAGAAAACCAAACAAAAAAATTAAGGCGCCAATTTCTTTAATATAGACGTATATGAGGTTGACCAGGACCAAAAAATTTCAAAATGTCTCGTAGTACAAAGCCCTCGGTGCAGTCCAATCTTAATTCGTATGTAGTTTCCAAATAGGGAGGTACCCACACGTCACAATGCATTGTAAATTGCAACTTACATGACAAACTTATTATAAACCCCAAAGTTCAGGTCTACAGCGCGATGAATCTGTGTCAAAAGAGAATCACAAGACGCACTAAGAATCAAATTCTTATAATCTGTTGGCCTTAGATAGTATACGGAAAAAGCACACGATTAATCTTTGGAAGCTTCAAAAGATATTCATTTGATAAATGTTGCATTTAATCTATTCGAGATTGCAATAATGCAGCATAAATAATTGGTTAATGATAAACTATCTCAAAAGGTTGTTTCTTCTAATTCTCGTCAATAAGGTGCTTCACCTTTATGAAATAAACTCTACGTATTGAAATCATTCCCAAGCATATTCTTTTTCATAAGAAAATTTGCTTGCGTGTTGTCTTCCTGCCACGTATATCATACCACTTTTGTCATGAATACACGTTAACAAAGTAAAAACCTATGTTATTGCCTTGTTTTTTGGAAATCGAAAGTCGGCATCTTGACTAGAGAATAAAAACTGTACAAAAAATACACCAATTGTTATGAAATGGTTTTAGTTTGAATTGTTATTGCCTAAATAATTTTAACTTTGATTCCAGTGAGTTGCAAAGATTTATCCTGTTAAAAATATAATCTGAAGATTTGTACTCGGAAAATAGACGCATAAATAAGGAAGAAAGACAGGCTTTATGTGATCAAATTTAACTTCTGACACAATGAATTTTCTAATGAATAAAAATCCGCAAAATTCAACTTTACGTTTTAAAGCGTACCGGTTTTTAATATTGACTATTGACGAGAGTACAATACAACTAAGTCTGCAAAACTTACAAAAAATTCTCCGGTCTTCAAGTAATTCAACACTATTGACTTCTTCACCGTTTTTACTACCGTCTGGCTACAAGCATCAAAACAACAAGAATGATTTGTTTTTCAAGTCCTCATACCTACATAAATTTTCTCAATTTGAAAAGATCACAGCAAGATATAGTGACCTGGCGACCCTTGGTGGCGGAGATTGGAGGAGTTTTGAAAGGGCGTAGTTTAAATTTCACACGCAAATGGTTTCGAAAATGCCTTTGGTGTGAGACATAAACAAGTACATTAGAGGAAACACAAAAAACAGTCGGTTATTCATCACATACATCATATTGCACACACTATACTTGTGTTTAAGCCCGATGCCTGCCTTAATCAATGCCCAAAAAGCACAAGCAACGTCTTTCGCCCGATTTTAGTCGTGCTCACTCAGGCCGGCACGACCAAATTATATATTCCTAAAGGGTTAGAAACGACTGGAATGAGATGCAAAATTGAGCAATTGTATCTCCATGAAATGTTCCAAAAAGTCTTTTTATGCAAAGTTTTTTGTTTTCATGCAAAAAAGTGTGAAAGGCGAGTTTCTGGCGCCTGAAAACCAGATTGTTCATTCAGCTTTTTACAAGACTGTCCATGCCGGATTCACAAGTTAACCATTTGTCATTGATCTATGATGTAAATGGCATTTGTAATTCCTAGGCATGCTGATGAGCCCTAACATTGGGCGAAACAGCTATTTCAAAAAAATTATTTAGTTGAAATAAATTAATGATTTGCTTTTATTTGATTTGAAATGTAAAATGATTTTGAGAATTCAGATGTGATCAATTTTAAAATATCTCGGAGTGCATCAACCATAATGGCACCACCGATATGTGTTAACACCAATCATTTTAGTAATTCATGTTTACAATCACAACAGCACGACTAGTTGTTTTAGTCTAGCTACGCCACTGATGTCAGTCTTTGTTTTTTCAATAAACCATGCTAGTTTAAAAATTGCCAACTTTAGATAGCAAAATTTTCCTGTAAGTGTATAAAAACAACAAACACTTAACAGCATTTCATACAAACCATGCGTGTTCAAAGACTTGACAACTTTATGAAAACAATCGAAACTTAACGACAATTTAAAAACGTCATGATCATTTGAACGATAAATATGATTTTTATTATCGTCATTATCCCAGCAGTAAAAGAAACTTGCTTTTATTTGGATAGGAAAATGATAATTTTTGAAGAATGCAGATGTTAGGGATAAAGATTAAATAAATTTAGCTCAAACAAAAGCTTTAAGACAGTGTAAAATCTGTTGAAAGCTTCGTTGCAATACGTTTCTTTGTTATAAAAGAAAAGATAATTAATAAAAACATAAATTATTCATATCGTATTCATATTGCATTCATATCCGACTGCGAAAGAACAAGTCATTTTAAAATCATGGTGCATTTAATGAACCGGTAACTTTTATTTCTTTCGTTTTTCAAACATTAACGTATATATGAAGTCGATCATCGATAATCTTCAATATTTGCAACAGTTGTAATTTACTTAACGTTCACAAAGACTATAGCAATATAGCTACTCTTTAAAACATAGATTAGACTGAAACTATGCGCCTCCGAATATAGGTAATGAATGCAAACTTGAAGGGACTAATTTAATTCAAATGCTGGAAAATCCAGATAATGTTTGATACGCAGAATAATGTTTCATATACAGAAGTATCTGACATAGGACAAGACATTTCCGACATTTTCAGTTGTACGATGAGCTAATCGATGACAAGCAATCGTTTCTTGTTATATTATTTCATGAAAATGTTCACGAATGACAATATCTAAAGTATCAATGCAAAATGATTTATATATATATCATAAATGAAAAATATAATTTAGACAACACATAGAACAGTTTTCTCAAGAATTATATCTCTCATAATACAATTTGTTTGCGTGTCCACTTCCGCCAATGTAGTTCATAAAATTGTCATGAAGAAGAGAAAGTATACACACGCTAACAAAGCTAAAGCATCGTGAATACGTTAAATATAACACTGTCGAGATTCTGTATGTATGAAAGTTTAATTGTAATTAAAAACGCAGCAAAAAAAAACACTCTAATGCTATAGAATTGTTTTAGTCCGTATAGTTACTGCCTACAAACTTTATGTTTTTTGCGTGATGGGTAGAAAATCTTTACTTCTACACTAAATGGGAGTATTTGTAAAGGGAGATATAAATAAGTTACATACACAAACTTTCGGCAATGAAAATTAACGTCTGATGCATTATAATTTTCTTAACGTTGTTAATATATACACCCTAAAAGAAATCACAAACTCAAGTATTTTTAAAGAATATCAGCCTTTAATCATGTAAAGAATACAATATAACAAAGTCAGGTAAACTTACAGATAAACCACTGATCTTCGATCACAGTCTCCAATAGTTATTTCAACAAGTGTATTTCTATAACGTTTTCTGTCAGACTAGAAACATCAATAATGACGCCTTGTTTGCAATGTCGTCATAAAAAAGATTATTTTAACAATGTAAAAATTTCAAAATAACAGTAGGAAGTACATTTGTTTGAAAAAATGCTTTATGTTCTCCATGGGGGGAGGGGGGAGAATGAATAATTTGTGGATTTAAATGTCCTTCAAATGTATGAAAAATAAATAGAAAGTCATTACATACATAGTAAATTCACCATATAAAGTGAACCATTTATAAGTCTAAAAAAGCTTGTTAATAAAACATTCAACTTCAATTTTCTTTCTCCATCGCTACTTTCAAACTGAATAAAAACTGGTTCTGGTGGTAGGACTTGAACACCATTTATTGGCACATGATGTTTCTTTCTAAAACCGCTGTCATTATGAGTCCACAATGAACTGCTCGTCTCTTTATTAAATGAACCGACGTTTTTTCTACTTTTGTTTCCATTCCTCTCAAGCGTTTCGTCATTTCGTAAACGCTGTTTATAGAAAATAGAAAATAATGTACGAAAGAAGACATACTAAAGCAATGATGTGAAAGATTTTTGAAACTTAAGTTAAGTAAATAGATTAGACCCATAGCAGTGCAAGGATAAGCAAAAAAAATCAAATACATTTACTTTATTTTACATATAAATACCTCTAAAGTTTCTTCAAATGATTCATTATGTTTTTCTTGATCTGATTGACTTCTGTCTTCAACAACAACCTCCCTGTTTTCTTTAACGTTTCTTTCAAGTTTGTTTTTAAATGATTTATAACTACCACGGGAATATCCATCGGTAGAGATATCTGATTGGCTGTCGCTAGGCCGTGGAGGAGTGGGTAAGAATTCAGAAAATTCACTGCCACTGACAATGGACATGATTTCTGGGTCATGTGATTTCTCTTCCCACTTTTTGTCTGAATAAATTGCTTGAAAATTTTGATCCTTAATTTCGTCTTGATGGACAGGCGATGATTTATAATCTACTTCTAACGCATCTGAATGTGAGCTGAATTGCGATCGACCAGAAGTTTTGTAATAAGCCGAGGTTTTAGAATTTTTAGTATGGGATAGTTTTGGACGGTTTTCAACAATGTATCTTTTACTATTACCAGAACCATGACATTTAGCTTCACAAACTTTCATTTCGTGATTCATGTAATCTCGTGTACGAGTTGAACCATGATATTTGGCTTTTCTTCTAGGTGGTAAATAATAAGAGTGAACATCTTTATAATTTTCATGTCTTGACGGCGAATTTCGAAGGTTTATTGTCCAGGCAGATGGTAAAGGTTTTCGTCTGCGAGTCGTCAAAGATTTAAAAGATTTTTTGTAGCTGAGTTATGAGTGGTTTCTTGGCAATGATCTCCTTCGTCTACAAAGAGCAATGGTAATTTTAGAAACTTTAAAAATCAAAGGAAAAGACAACAGGGATGAATTGCTATCGCTAGATGGAGGGCTCTTATTCATATATTCATGATATGCTGAACAATATCTTTTGAAATGTATTGTTATCTACGGATCTATAACATGCATATATGAATAAGAGCCCCCCCAATTAGCGATAGCAATACATCCCTGAACGACAACGTGTGCGTTTGATAAAATTAAGCATAGTAAGCCAAATTGGAGGTGAATAAATAACAGAGTAGGATTACGTGTGCAGTTGAATTTAAGTCAGTGACTTGTACTGCAACCGAGCTGTAATAGTATAACTGCCCTGTGGTAGTACGACTGACCTATAATAATATTGCTGACCTGCGGTAGTACAACTGACCTGTAATAGTACGACTTTCCTGGATGATCAAATGTTCTCACAACAACAACAGGTTGTTGAAGATCAACACTAGACACATCATCGCCATATTGACTGTAACCCATGCTGGTATAATTTCTCACTGAATCACTGGGCATTATGTTTCTGGAAAGGTTGTCAAGTGACGCCATACTACGTGATGTCATTGTAGCTGTCTCCTTGGAAGAGAAGTTGATTGACTGTAACCTCTCTGTACGTAGTGGAGCAATAGACTTTAGCTTCACATATTCTCCATATTTATCATCAACATTAAAATTACTACTTTCCTTTTTTCTGTTTTCATGAAACTCCGAAGACTTCCATTCTTCAAAACACGACCTTTATTAGCAACTTGTCTCTCGTTATTTCCACGACTCTCGTGGGAAACACGGATCACGTCGTCCACACGACTCTCTTTAGCTTCACGAGTTTCATTCGCTGATACACCAGCATTTTGAAGGGTTTCACGAGACATTTGTAACCTGTTTCTATTGTCAACATTACTCTCTTCGACAGAGCCATGATCTTTTAAGCCTAAAATATGAACTTTGTCTGTTTTTACGTTATATTAAACTTCACCCTTGTTTGCACCACTATCAATTTCATCCAAAGTATTTTCTCTCATAATTTTAGTAAAAGTTTTACTGTATATGCCTCCTTAAGCAGACACTTTTCCACGAATGCTTGAATTGAAACATTGAAAATATTTGTAGAAAAAGGAAATCAAGCGAAGTGATAACGGTAATTAATACGACAAGTTTTTTAAAATAAACATGTTTCAACATCTCATGATGCCATCTTCAATAAATACTTGCTTGTCATAGGTGCATATAGGGGTTTTATGTTATGTACCCATCACACAGACTACAGAAAGTTCAAGAACGAAGTAGAAATTGACTTAAGAAGGAAAACAATATCAATACTGTCAGATTTAGTAAAGACCGCAAACGAGCAAAATTTATGCTAAGATCAAATGCGAATTATGGATATCACTTGAATTAGCACGATAAGCGACATTATGAAAACGTACGTCCTTGTATGTGTAGTAAAGCTCATAAACTTCTTCGTACCCATTTAATGTATACAACAGAGGTCCATTTTTAACTCTTCAGAGAGTGAAAACATCTTAGTCTGACATTGAACTAGAATTCGTAGCTTACAAATAGTACGACCAATCGTTTAGGCTATTAGTTAAATTCGTTCGTTTTGTGCAATGTATTGATTTTTGAACTATACTTGCACTTTGTGTATTGTAATGAAATACAATTAAATTATAAAGGTTTCATGACTTTCTCCATTTTCAATGTTTCTACTAGACTCAATAAAGCTTCAAAAAATATAAGGGTGGAGTACATACTATACTCGTCGACTTTAACCCCACCTCCAAATTTAAATCTGTTTCTACGCCTATGTATCGATCCTATGTATATCTATGAAACACGAACCATTGGCGTTGTGGCTGGGGTACAGCCAGGGGGGAATACCCCACGAATGATTTAAGGGGAGACACCTCTACCAGAAGGCATATGGGGGCCGCCAGAACGCATCTTTACAAACTCCTCTAAATTTATTTCAGGAAACAAAATTCAAACAAATAAAACCACTGAACGGCGGAACAAATCAGAAAAGATGGCGGACGGATCTGTTTCTGCTGAGATTTACCAAAATTGACCAATATTATTTCGCATTGTAATACAATTTACAATCAGAATGATACAATATTTTGATCTATTCATATCCAACACTTTGTCGCGTTTTTGCTCAAAATGACAAGGAACATATAATAAACAGGCACCGCGGAGGATCGATAATTGGGGGGCATATTCATATATTCATATATGCAGGCTTAAGATCTTTTGAAATCCATTGTTTTCTAAGGATTAAAACATGAATATATGAATATGAGCACCCCAATTATCGATCCTCCGCGGTGCCTGAAACTTGTATGCCGAAGGTTCATCTGAATTGTCAAAAGCTCTTTTTTGATGACGACATTAACTTAAAACTGACTTATTTTGTGTTCTTCAACACCTAAACTTTGTAAATTATAGCTTTGAAAAATCGTGCAGTTTGCACAAATGCTTCTTAAGCTATTTCTATAGTTATTATGGATATTATTATTATCTTACACAAACAATCTCATGAAGGGATTTTGAATAGAAAATGCTTAAAAATATTGGGCGCAAGGAGACGTAAAATATCCTGAGATAACGAGATTACAAGGAAAAGCATAATCAAGGAGTATATGTTGAATGTTAGAAAGTATATAACTATGGATGGCAGATACATTTTATAAGTGCCTTATACATAAATTTGATAGTATAACTTACTTTCAAAGTCGGCGTAATATTCCGTTCCTTCACCTTTAGACTCGTAACGTTCTGTCAATTGAAAAGTCACCAAACGTGTGACAGTATTTTAGTCAATAAAATTCGACTCAGAAAAAACCTTAAAGATATATCTATAGTTGGTGCAAAAAGACATAAAATCTCTAGACGACGATTATCGAGGTAAAAAGATCAATAAAGTGTATGTATGTTCTACGATAAAATGTTGGTAAATATATCCATATTTTTGCACCTATAGCTTACACATAATTTACGTGGGTCTCGCATAAATTTGATTGTATATAACTTACCGTCATCCATGAAGTAACTTTTCATTCGTTGAAGGCAACTCTATAAATTCTGTATTATCCAAGGTGAATATCAAACTTAGGAAATTCTGCAATCATAAATACATATTTATCAAATCTTCGTCTTTCTCACTCGTTGAAATGAAAAGATTAAAAAAAGAATTCTTGCACAGTTTTAATATCCAATCATTAAGGCGCTTAAATTACATATAACATCATAACCTTCAACGCCGTACGTCAACAAAGCAACTTTCCGTGATTATTAGCCTTAACATAGATGAAAATTTATAAAAATTAAACATACGCAGGAAGAAAATTTTCAGAAATTGTACTCATCCTTGTTAAACGTTACTTGTATCAATGTTTTAAAACATCCAACTGTATGAAGTTAATCGTCAAAAATCTTCGATAATCATTTGATGCACGCCAAATAAGAGTGTTTCTTTTTTATAAATTATTGTCGAAACAAAAATATTTATCATAATAGTAGCAAAGTAGCTACATCTTAGGGGAAAGGTTATTATTCACAGATTCTAAAAATTATGATTACCCAACAAAACAACAAAATCACAAAAAATTTGTCACAGCAACAAGGTAGCTATAACAAGGTATAGAAAAGACTACTATCGTCAAGTTTTATCTTTATAAACTTGATTTAAAACATATTAAGTGCAATGGTTTACTTTCACCAATTATGATAAAGCTATCACAATCAGAGACATCTTAAACTCAGTAAGGCAATGGGGTCTTTGTCAATGTGAACGTAATTGGAAGTTACTTTCTTCCGTACAAATCTCTACCAAGAAATTTAAATGCATAAATCAAAACACAATCCGCTTATTGTAATCAAAGCAAATGGAACGTTTTATAGTATAACTGTTTAATGTTTGTGATTAACCATTGATTGCAGTCGACTAGATTTAAAAAAAAACACAGGAGATTCTAAATTTGGACAACCGAATCAAACAGAGCGCTACCATACAACACCGAATGAGAAGAAAAAAACCTTAAGGATGTTGGCATGTAAGATATACAGTATTAGAATTTAGAATAGTCCGTTGATCTAAAATGCAAGAATTCATTGAAAAATGTGATATTACAAGTGTCAATGACACACTTGATTGCATAACTATTTAAGATGCAATTATTTAAAAGAACAAGAAAAAGATCTTTGTTCATTCGATACAAGCGATACCGAGAATTTGACTATTTTTATTTTTCCTATTATCATTCTAATCGAATTTTTCCTGGTAAATGTTCAAATGGTAAATGATATTACGCGTGTCAATGACACACTTGATTGCATAACTATTTAAGATGCAACTATTTAAAATAACAAGAAAAAGATCTTTGTTCATTCGATACTAGCGATACCGAGAATTTGACTATTTTTATTTTTCCTATTATCATTCGAATCGAATTCTTCCTGGTAAATGTTCAAAATTATTTTTTGTTAACTGTAACTAATAAGAGACTGAAAGATATGTGTTAAAAACAGAAATTGGGGATTTGTACATGGAATTAAAGACTGCAACGCTCAAGGTTTACAGCACCAAACCCTCCCCATCACCAATGACTTGGCCCTCACTATATTTGAGAACTTCATATTAAGTAGATGACATGTGAAAACATAACATTGCTCTAAAGGGGGTTCCAAAGTTTTGACACAATAAACACAAAACAAATTTATAGATATTTTTGTCACGTCTTGCGGCAACGGACCTAAATCTTACAGCTGGAAAATTTGATATTTTTGCTTACAAAATGCATTTGGGATGAGCGTTCAGTCCCAGCATGTAGTATGGCAGATGAGAATTACATATGGGATTACACTTCAATTACACACGTGATACTCGTGGTTTCTACCATTGCTTTATCTGTTGCGTAGCAGTGACGTAGACTAATTCATCAATAATTGGGGAGCCAATACTGATATATGTATGTTATAATCTCAAGAAAACAATGGATTTCAAAGGAATTTAATACAGATTATAAATGAATATTGCCCTCCAATTATCGAGCTGGCTACGCCTCTGCTACTTAACCATAGCCTGACATTGTGGATGGGTGATATGATACCATCCATTTGGGGGACATTAAACCAGATTTCCATACCAATTGCACTTTATTTGAACAGTTTGTTACATTTCATAATATACTATACAACAATCAAATTCATTAAAACTTGCCATAAACATATTTGACTAAAGTATACAAGTTATTTTTATTTTTAACTTTGCTTGTCACATATTTTAGTGCATAAAATTATACAACAAGGTGCATTAAATTTGATTACTCATTTCTTTTGTGCTAGCTTTAGTATTTCAGATTTTGGTTGCATTTTTAATCTTATTTTCAGTATAAACAAAATATCACAACTTATTCACACATAGCTAAAGATTTCACATGTATGCAATTCTTCTATTTTGATTATGAAGCATTTGATTCTTTTCAAAATGTCATCAGATCAAAATAACAGCTTTGTTTTCATGCGAGTAGATAAACCTCACAAAATTTTCATGTTATATCTGTAGAGCCCCAAACTGATTTTTTGTATAAAATGTAAAGATTTAAAATGCTATGATATCTATTATGAACCAAACCCAATCTATACATAATATAAATCTTAACACGGTTTTTATATGAACATGAAAAACATGTGACTTGGACGAGATTTGAACTCACACCTTCGGGATACTAGTCTTTCGCTCTACCTGAAGTCAAATCTCTTAGGATTTATATTATGAACCAAACCCAATCTATATACAGTTAACACAAGAAGTTTTTATTTTGACAATGTCTTAACCTGGCAAAGTGAACAGAATTCATTACGAAATTTAAATATACGTAAATGTAAATAAGTATGCCCATTATTTAAGGAGCCTTTGCATTGAACCCC